ATGTCCATACATCGCAGCATAATTAATTAAATCATCAGGACCTCTTAACTTTAATGAATGGAAATATTCAAGGATATGTAAATGTTTATTAATTGCAACATACATAAAAGCAAGATCATTTTCTTTATACCCTTTTTCATATAAATACTTTACAATTTCAAGGTGACCATTTTCTGCAGCACAATTAATTGCCCATTCAGAACCTTTATACCCTAATTCATGTAAATACTTTACAATTTCAAGGTGACCATTTTCAGCAGCATAATTAATTGCATTTTTTGTTCCTATATATCCTTTATAATGTAATAATTTAATTAAATTAAGGCGACCATATTTAGCAGCAAAGTTAACCTTATTACTTTTTTTATACCCATAGTTTTTTAATATTGCAGTAATATAATATATCTGAGATGAAGGATTAATTATTTCGTTTTGAATTTTATTTTTCATTCTTTTATTATGTAAAGAAAATTATTTAACTTATTTTTCAATTTTTTCTTCTTGCTTCTTATTTATATCCTATAGAACGTAAATACTTTACAACTTCAAGATGACTATTTTCTCGTCTCATTAAATTGGAAAAATCAATTAAATTTTCAGGTCCTCTTAAATTTAAATCTTCAATAAAATATTTAAGAATATGTAAATGTTCATTAAATACAGCATTAATAAAAGCATCATCACTAACCTTATAATTTTGTGATATTAAATATTTAATAACATTTAAATGTCCATACATCGCAGCATAATCAATTAAATTTTCAGGTCCTCTTAAATTTAATTCATTATGAAAATATTTAAGAATATGCAAGTGATGATAAAATGTTGCACTTTTAAAAGCATCATTATTTATTTCATAATTTAAAGATATTAAATATTTTACCATATCTAAATATCCATCTACTACAGCTTTATTAATTGCATCTTTTATACCTTTATACCCTAATTCATGTAAATATTTAATTACTTCAAGATGACCATTCATTGCAGCATAATTAATTGCATCTTTTGTACCTTTATACCCTAATTCATGCAAATATTTTAATACTTCAAGATGTCCATTTTCTGCAGCATTATTAATAACAAGTTTATTACCTTTATACCCTAATTTATGTAAATATTTAATAATTTCAAGTTGACCATTTCCTGCAGCATAAGCAATTGCATCTTTTGTACCTTTTTCTCCTGATTGAATTAATATTTTAATTAGATCAAATCTATCTATTTCAGCAGCAAAGTCAACTTTATTTTCATCATTATTATACCCATAGTTTTTTAATATTTCAGTAATATAATATATCTGAGATGAAGGATTAATTATTTCGTTTTGAATTTTATTTTCCATTCTTTTTTATATATACAAGAAAATTATTTAACTTATTTTTCAATTTTTTTATTTTTTGTAAAAAAATAAAAAAAAATATTTAATTCTGTAGTCTAATTATCAAATACAACTTCATCATCTTCATTATCATATTCAGTAGTTTCTGTAATTTCAGTAGTTACTGTAGTAACTTCTTCAACTTCATCATCTTCATCATCTTCTTCATCTTCTTCATCTTCTTCATCTTCATTATCTTCTTCATCTTCTTCATCTTCATATTCTTCATCATCTTCTTCAGTCATTTCAATATCATTATCATATTCAGTAGTTTCTGTAATTTCAGTAACTTCAGTAGTAGTAACTGTAGTAACTTCAGAATCATCAGTCATTTCAATATCATGAATATCAATTATATTTAATTTTTCTTCTATTAATCTTAATCTTTCATTTATTGATCTTAAAAATAAATTTTGCATTTCGTTTTCCATTCTTTTTTTATATAAAAGAAAAATTATTTAACTCATTTTAAATTTTTTGATTTAAAGTATTTTTTACAAATAATAAAAGAAAAATGTATGATGATGAAATTAATGAAATATCAGAATTTCAAAAAGAATTTAAACTTTTTGAAGAAATATTAAAATTTGAATTTGAAGAATCAGATTCTGAAGATGACACTTATTATACATCTGATGAAGCTACTTATTATACATCAGATGATGAAGAAGTTAAAGAAAAACCTATAGTTCCAATTCCTTTAAAAACAGTTCAAATCATGGAACTGCATAAAGATAAGCTGAAATGGATTAATTATGTTCCAACTTATAATGTTATTAATGATGATTTTCCTGCTATAGATAGTTTCTTAACAAAAAAACATAATAAAAACAGAAAATTTAGTTTTGAAAAACCATTTAATGTAGATATTAATTTTACTGAAGATGGAAAACCTTCAACAATACATTTTGTAGAGAAACTACCCATTTTCTGTAAAAATATTTTAAAAGATAATTATTGTCATTTTGAACATAGATGTAAATACAATCATGATATTCCTTATTGTAATACTGTAAAGGAAAGACTCATATGCACTAAATCTTCATGTCAATATAGACATTTATCTCTATGTTCTGAATACCCAAAATGTAAGAATAAAAAGTGTAGATTGTTTCATCCCAAAAAGTCAGAATTATTAAAATTAAGAAAAGCTAAAACTAAATTATGCAAATATATTCTTGATAAAAAAGAATGTAAAAATATAAATTGCAAATATGCTCATTCTTTTAAAGAAATTGAAGAAAATGTAGAAATTTGTCATTATACTCCATGTAAATTAGTAGAGAGTAAATTAAAGAAAAATAAAAAAGGAGAA